AAGATGGCTGCTGCATATTTAATGAGACATGTGCTTTAGGGAGGAAGTGACCTATAGGTGGCCTAGTGAGCACTGTGACGTCGAGTGAATAAAGATGGCTGCCGCATAGTCAATGAGACATGTGCTTTAGGAAGGTATTGAGAATTCTTAAGTCACTTCCTTTCACAAAGGACCACATGTAGTATCCGCCTCCTAGAGATGACCATTAGGTATTGGTTATGTTACCTCTGTGGGTGGATACTAGATGGGAGGTTATTCAAGGGGTTTCCAGAAACTAGAGTTTCAGTTTCATGACTGGGTCGGAAGAAGCCAGGTGTCTTTAGAGGTGCCCATGTAAATCCATTTAACATGTGGCAAGGAACTCACCTCATTGTTCTGTGTGTTATGCTGATTCAATTATCCTGTGTAAGCTGCTGAATCTCCATGAATAGAGCTAAGTAGATTTCTTACCTGAATGTATTGTTTATAGCAGTGTATGTTTTTAAAGTATTTGTTTCTTTTTTGTGTGCTTGATAATTGTATTCCCAGTAAAGTTTTGTTTATACTTTCATCAAAACTTTGCCTCTTGTCTGTTCATTCAAGATATTCACTAATATTTATGTGATTGACCAGTATACCTTTTATTATTTTATTTGTGGTATTATTTTATATTTATGCAATTCAGAACTTCATAAATATAAAGAAATTAATTTACCATTACAACTGGCGCTGCGAGCAGGGTACTGCACAATCACTAAATATAGAATATTTGAATGTGTATATAGATTGAATAAGCCTATAGCACAGTCACGTTGCACAGTGAAAAGAGATATAGTTAACAAGCATTGTCTTTGATTGGTATATTTGCATTTTTGTGTTCCCCCTGAGAGTAAAGATGCTTACTCTGTTTAAAAAAAGTAATAGAGCAGGAGGGAAGGAGGCGTCTAAGTATGGGACAATTCCATTGTGGGCCAGTTTAGAAAACTGGAAACCCATTGCTGAGGAGCTGATCAAGTATGCAGCTCCTGTCTATCCTGATGCTGGTACTGAACTTGGTGCTCAAGCATTACGGTTAGACCTGGGAGTATACTCCAAAAAAGTGCGGAAAGCCGCTGCCACCACAGGGTGGATAGTTGTGCAGGCCCTTAGCCGCGAGGTGCAGAGAAATAAAGCGCTCGAGAAAGAGTTGCAGGATGTAAAAGATTTATTAGTTATGACTAAAGAATGTATGCGTAGTAATGCATGCCAGGTGGCTGCCCTAGAAGAAAAATGTACTACTTTAGTGGTAAGCAAGATTAACCGCAGGAGGTCACAGAAAGGAAAAAAGCCAGTGCCTGTAAGTAAAGTGCGAGCAATGGTTGCAAACCCCATATGGGATCCTGAAGCACCGCTACAGTCATCTGATGATGAGTATGTATCCTTTTCTGATGATGATAATGATGTGGACAGGCGACAAGCCCGTCCTATCATTACACAGCAGCGGAAAAGGAGACTACAAGATAGAGCGCGTGGTTTGAGAAATGGTGTACATGAAGAGATGAATGAAGTGGTAAAAAGTTACACACAAACAGAGCTCATGGAGCTGGCAAAGGTGTATAAGCATGAAGTTGGTGAAAATGTGGGAGAATGGTTATTGCGCATGTGGGATGGAGGAGCTGACAGTGTGCAGTTGAATGCAAGGGAAGCATTATGTATGGGGCAGCTGACGCTGCATCCACAGCTCATGCAGGTATTACGGAGGGTGAGGGAGATTGGAGGTAATTTTTCATTATTTGATATGGTGCGGCATGCCATAATTGTGGCCTTCCCATCTAGCAATGACATTGAGCCCATTTCACCCTGGTCAAAACCGAGGGATGCTATTACCCGCATTAGAGTTATGGGTTGTGTGGTGGGATTAAACAAGGATAACTGGGAAGGTCCAGACATGGAGGAATTCACAGCCAGCATGCGGTCTCGGTTTTTAAAAAGTGCACCCCAGGAAATGAAGGCATCTTTATTGTCTTTGCTGGGCAGTTTGGGGAATAATGTAAAGGTACATCAGCTCACCACTTATTTAGCTGAAATTGGAGAATTAGAGTCAGAATCTAACCCTAGGAAAGGTGTGTTTGCCGCTAACAGGACGAGGGAGGAGATGGTGGAACCAATAGAGGGAGAAAAGCAGGGAAAGTTTAGGAATAAAACAAGGCTGAGAGTTAATCGTTTTCAAATGTGGAATGATTTGATTGAGGCTGGTGTACCTAGAGAACAAATTAATGGAATTTCAACACCTGCCATGTTTGAAAAATGGTTAAATCTAAAAAAAAGGGTCTAATAAAAAGGTACAGGTACATTTGGCATGCAAGGATCAGGCAGACAATACCATGCCCTCTGCCCCATTTGTCCCAAAGTCTCCTCCCCCTAGTTATTTAAAAAACACTCCTCTCATGCCTACAGACACAGCTCCTCTGTCCATACCTCTATTCCAACATTGTGCTCCTTATGCTGTGCCCCCACCCTCACTTCAAGCCCAAGATAACACCCCCCCACATTCATACCCACATATGTCTTCACTGTTTCCAACAGAATATTGTGCTAGGACTTACTCTCATACTACATCTAGTGAGAAACAAGCACTGCCAGAGAGTGATGGTAAAGTCAGATCCTTGTATCCTGTAAAAGATCTGATGACACATGATTTGATGGATTGGGACAGTGCTGTTGTACAATGACAGAATGGTGGGCCTCCGGCGGTACATGTGTCCCCTTTAACCGCCGGGGACCGACGCCCTTATGTACCTTTGACTGTGTGGTGGGGGACAAGACCAGGACCAACAAAGATTTTAGCTTTAGTTGACACAGGAGCAGAAGTCACAGTACTGCATGGTAATCCATCAAGGCTATCAGGACCCTGTGTGAGAATAGAAGGTTTAGGAGGTAGAATTACCAAAGCAGTACAAACTGTTGTGGCTATGTCAATTAACAAAGGACCAAGATTCAGTGCTAAAGTTTTGATTTCAGAATTGCCAGACAATATCTTGGGAATAGATGTGTTACTAGGGCAGAGTATTGAGACACAGTGGGGGGTGTTCACGTTTGGATTCCCTCATAAGCCATACTATCTCAGACCAGTAAAAGACATTGTGCGAGGGAATGCAAATTGGACACCTGTCATTGTTCCTCCTCCGTGCAACCCGGTAAGACTGAAGCAATACCGTTTGCCCGGAGGATGTCGAGAAATTAGTGAAACTATCGACAAGCTTTTACAGTCAGGTGTAATTCGTCCAGCTGTCAGTCCGTTCAATGCTCCAGTATTCCCTGTAAAGAAGATGGATGGCTCATGGCGAATGACGGTGGATTACCGGGGACTCAACAAGGTAGCACCACCATTGAGTGCTGCTGTCCCTGATATTATCACCATTGTGGGAAACATTGCCAAACAGGCCGGGGAGTGGCATGCGGTAATAGATTTAGCTAATGCGTTCTTTTCAATTCCTATTGCACCTGAGTCGCAAGATCAATTTGCTTTCACTTGGGAAGGACGCCAATATACCTTCCAAGTTTTGCCCCAGGGATATATACACACACCTACGATTTGCCATGGACTAGTTGCACGGGATTTAAGCCACCTCACTCTACATCTTCCAGTGTTTCACTACATTGATGACATCATGATCTCGGGATCTAAAGAGGAAGTGAAAGAAGCATTACCTGTTCTAGTGAATTACATGACTGGACGGGGATGGGCAATAAATAAAGACAAAATTCAAGGTCCAACCCAAGAAGTTAAATTCCTAGGAATGATGTGGTCTGGGCCTGTTCGGAAGATACCTCAGCCTGTGCTGGATACAATCCAGAATTCTCCAGAACCTAAGACGTTAACAGAAGCCCAAAAGTTTTTAGGTGCAGTTGGTTACTGGAGAGCATTTATACCGCATCTAGGATTGCTGCTACGCCCCATATACAATGTTACAAGAAAGAAATCAGCATTTGTATGGGGAATTGATCAAGCTACAGCATTCCAAGCAGCAAAGGAAGCAGTATTACAGCATCAGGGCTTGGGCCCGATTCAAATTGGAGCTCCATTCATATTGGATGTGATGGTGAACGACAACGTAGCATCATGGGGACTATGGCAACCGAGCGAAGACAAAGGCAAGCGGGCAGTACCAATTGGGTTTTGGTCCAAGCAATTGACTGGGGCTCAGCAAAGGTACACACCTTTGGAGAAGAATCTTCTGGCAGCATACCTCGCACTGCAGCATGTGGAGACAATGACTGAGAAAAGCATAGTATTAGTGAAAACAGATTTACCAATAGCAGGATGGGTACGAGATGAAGGATTATCTGCAAAGACAACAGTGGCACAAAGTCAGACATTATTAAAATGGAAGTGGTACCTGCAGGAAAGAGGAGGGATCCAAGCAGGTGAAGTGAAGGGACTGACCAAACTCCTTACTGGGTTAGTGACATATGATACACTTTCACATCCCAATGTACAAGAAGTCCCAATTTTACAGCCCTCACCCATCAAGACAGCTCCTTCATTCAGAGAACTGGGTGAAGAACAAAAGAAAAATGCATGGTTCACAGATGGGTCTGCAACCATGACCCACAAAGGACGACATTGGACTGCAGTAGCTTACAACCCTCAGCAACAAATTGTGATTCAAGAAAAGGGAATAGGAGGATCTAGTCAATATGCTGAATTGACTGCCATAGTCATACTGATGGAAGAAACCACAGATCCAGAGCTCTACATCTATACAGATAGCTGGGCTGTGTACAAGGCTTGTGTTACATGGATGCCTACATGGAGAAACAACAGGTGGCAAATACATGGCAAGACAGTATGGGGAGGAGAAGATTTATGGGAAAATATATGGAAAACAGCCCAATCAAGATTAATACACCTCGGACATGTTAATGCCCATGTGAAAGACAGTACTGGAGAAGAGAACCCGAATAAGATAGCCGATGAATTGACCCGAATACGAGAAGCAAAAATAACACCAGAACCTGTTGATCCAGTATTACTTAGGATGGCAGACTGGGCCCATGAGACCGCGGGTCATAGAGGAAAAGCAGCTACGCTAGAGTGGGCGCGAGCCCGAGGACTACCAATAACTCTCCAGATGATTGTCCAAGCTCAAGAAGTATGCGAGACCTGCAATGAGGTTAAGAAATGGCCCCTCACGAAGCAAGCCCGTGGACATTTAAATAAAGGAACAATAGCAGGACAGATCTGGCAGATGGACTACATTGGTCCCATGCCTAAAGGAAGAGGGGGGCTGATGTATTGTTGTACTGCTGTAGACACCTTTTCCGGAATTCTGAAAGTATTACCCTGCAAACATGTGAACCAACACTTCAGATGCTACAGACTCTTGTGATTGCTTATGGACTGCCATCTGAGATTCAGACAGACAATGGAACCCACTTCACTGGACAGCTCTTACAGCAGTGGGCAAATGACTCAGGGATTAAGTGGATCTTCCACATCCCCTATCATCCTCAAGCTTCGGGGTTGATTGAAAGGTGCAATGGGCTTTTAAAAGAACAGATTCGGAAGCTATCCCCAAGTAGGACATTGAGGGGGTGGGACCGGGTGATCACGCAGGCAGTTAGGATACTAAATAGTAGACCAATAGGACAGTTTTCACCTTATGAAAGATTGACTGGACAGGTAGGGACACCAACTGTGTCAGTTCGATTAAGGTTCAAGGGATCTTTCCCCCAACAGGTGGGGAAGAACAAATTTAAAGTGGTCAGCCAGAACCTAGTTGAGATTGTACAGGGTGATGAATGGATGACATACATCCTTCCCATGGGTGGGATATTACCAGAAGGGACTGAAGTGACCTTTGCCCTAACAGAGGAGCTAAGAGATGATAAATGGTTGACCACAGGGATGGTAAATGTGTTATCAGATTTGTGGGAAATCCCATTGACCAGGGGGTGTCCAGGCCAGATTTTCTCACACACTGTATTAGGCGTGGTATCCATTTGGATCCCACGGAAAGTATTAGTGACATGGGAGGAAAGCAATACCTTACAGACAGGTTCCAAAGTATGGGTGCTACCACGAGCAGGTGAGCAGGTCAAACAGAAGGGAGAAATACTGTCCAATGGACCTGGTGACACTAAAGTTGTATTACTAAGTGGAGGTACTCACCCTGTTTTCTTTCCTTCCAACAGATTGGTGGCTATATAGACAAGTCGGATCCCTGGTCCTCCAACTCATACCTGAATCTATTAGCAAGTTATTCGAGAGTGTCAAACAGCACGGATTGCTGGATTTGTGGGACCATATCATTCAGCGAGGAGAGCAGTTACCCATATGTTGGTGTTCCATGGACATTGGAGGAGTTAAAACAATATAATAATACAGGATTCGGCTGGTACCGAGAAGAAGGAAAGCCACAATCATTGGACAGATTGCATATTATAAACCGCCCCCAGGAAGGTGCTATTTGTATCAGTTCACATAACAATGGAGCCAATGCCACTAAAATGGGATATTCTAACTGTACATCTGCCTGGGTAAAGGGCTATGGTAATGAACAACATTGGGCAATGACTGTCAAAGACTCCAGCCCAATGGTGAGAGTAATAAGTATGACCTCTCATGGTGCAATAAAAAGACTGAGCTTTCCCTTTATTTCTATACTCCTGGACACTTGTTTTAGTGGGGCCCCAGATAATAGTTACAGTGTCCTTCCCAGAGGTGTGTATTTTCTGTGTGGTAATTGGGCCTATAGATGGTTACCTACTCAATGGGAAGGAGAATGTTACATTGGATCAATCATCCCCGCCATAAGGCATAGAAATAGCTTTCCAGAAGGCATGATTAGAAATAAACGGTGGAGTTCATTTATCGGAGAACATGAAGCTAATTCTGGAATTGTATTTCCCGGCTGGGGAGTATATTGGTCATTAACTCGAATAGAAGCTTTAAAAAAGCTAGTGGATGAAGCTTTAGATGCAACCGTGGATGCTATTAACAAACTATCCCAAGAGCAGGTACAAATGAGAGCAGTGGTGTTGCAAAATAGACTGGCATTAGATTATGTCTTGGCCGCCAAAGGAGGCGTTTGTGCGTTGGTAGGGACAGAGTGCTGCTCATATATTGTCAATAACTCTGGCGCAATAACACATGATATTTCAAAGATAAATGATACCAGGAAGAAGCTCCAGAATCCACCGGATAGTGGACCTTTTGGGTGGTTGGGTAATTTAGGGTTTAAAGTAATGCAATGGGTAGTAGTGGGTGTTGTTTTATGTATAATATTGTATTTTTTTGTAAATTGTATTATATGTGTGGGAAAGCAAGCTATGAAGAAAGTAAGACCTATCCGAGAAATATATGAGTTATAGTTATTACTCATGTAATGGGATCAACAGGTGGATTGTATTGGTTATGGGCAATGATAAATGTTCTATTATTGTGTTCCCATTCATGTGCAATAACTTATGATACCTATAGGGGGTGTAGTGAGCTATGTGACATTAAGAGCAAGAAGATGGCTGCTGCATATTTAATGAGACATGTGCTTTAGGGAGGAAGTGACCTATAGGTGGCCTAGTGAGCACTGTGACGTCGAGTGAATAAAGATGGCTGCCGCATAGTCAATGAGACATGTGCTTTAGGAAGGTATTGAGAATTCTTAAGTCACTTCCTTTCACAAAGGACCACATGTAGTATCCGCCTCCTAGAGATGACCATTAGGTATTGGTTATGTTACCTCTGTGGGTGGATACTAGATGGGAGGTTATTCAAGGGGTTTCCAGAAACTAGAGTTTCAGTTTCATGACTGGGTCGGAAGAAGCCAGGTGTCTTTAGAGGTGCCCATGTAAATCCATTTAACATGTGGCAAGGAACTCACCTCATTGTTCTGTGTGTTATGCTGATTCAATTATCCTGTGTAAGCTGCTGAATCTCCATGAATAGAGCTAAGTAGATTTCTTACCTGAATGTATTGTTTATAGCAGTGTATGTTTTTAAAGTATTTGTTTCTTTTTTGTGTGCTTGATAATTGTATTCCCAGTAAAGTTTTGTTTATACTTTCATCAAAACTTTGCCTCTTGTCTGTTCATTCAAGATATTCACTAATATTTATGTGATTGACCAGTATACCTTTTATTATTTTATTTGTGGTATTATTTTATATTTATGCAATTCAGAACTTCATAAATATAAAGAAATTACTTAATTTACCATTACAGAAGGGCAGCGTGATAGGGTGGTCCAGTGGCAGAATTGGAAGGAAGTGTGGACACACTAGTTAAGTTGAGAGAGTAAGAGATCGTTTTGAGAAGTAACAGTTACCTGGAAGAAATAGGATATTCTGAAGGGATGTGTTTTATGGGACTTCTTCAAGGACACACAACAAAGAATAGGTGAGAGCCTGATTGGAGAAGCCAGACTGTTCCATAAGAATGTAGCCGCTAGACATCTTGCATGCAGGAGTTAGCTGTACTTGTATGAATAGCAGATGGAAGAAGGTCACCAGCAGAACGGTGCAACCAAGAAAGGGTGTACCTACAGGGAATACAGTATAGACCACCTCTGTGTCGGTAGGGGGGATCCTAATCTTGGACAAACCAGGACCAATATTAGTGGACGGTGCACTTCCTAGTGGCAGCTCCTGCCATTTAAATTTAGAAACATAGAAACATAGAATGTGACGGCAGATAAGAACCATTCGGCCCATCTAGTCTGCCTAATTTTCTAAATACTTTCAAGGTCAGCTTTTAATTATTGTTGATAGCTGAAATAGCTGCCTTCCAGCGACTGTAACTTGCCCTGATCTTGGCCAACATTGGGACAGCTCTGTATAACAGCTCGGCAACTTATTCTACAAAATAAAATTTGATGTGTAATATTTTAGCTAGCACAATACATACTTAACATCTTACTATATTTGTGATATAATGACAGCTTTGCATGACTGATGCACTTTATTACAGATACTTAATGGGCATTGATTCCTCTGCACAACAGACACGTTTTGTATGTCACTCTTTATTTCCTATCAAATCTGAAGATATATTGCTCCCTAATGTTTACATCTGATGCATTAAGGTACTTATGCAGCAGTAAAGTCTGGGTATTTCAACTGAAGACTCGCAGATGAATGCTCTTGCGACTGTTTTTGTCGTAAGTGAAGGATTTAATGTGGTGTCATTTTTATGCACCATAACTTTACTGTGTCTTTCTTTTAACGACCCTTGATCTTTACAACTCAGACTAATTAAAGACGATACAAACTTTGTTTGGAGGTAATACTGTCTCTGCACTTTTACTGTTTAATTGAGACTTGTCCTAAATACACAATAAGAAAGCTCTTGTGAGCAGAATTCTGACTCTTGTAATGTTTCCATAAAATATGTATTAATGTTAACTACTGTGTAAACAAATTAAGTGTCAAAGTTTGCACACAAAAAAAAAACCTAACAAAAAAAAATCTCTATAAAAGACAAAGGCTTTCTCATTTTACAAATAGGAAATTCACTAATGTGTAAATTGTCAGGAATTCAGAGAGTTTCTAAAGTTGTAGGGAGCTATAAAAACCTGACTGTTTTGTGTTTTTTTCCAAATCTATGCTATTTTTGACTAAAATTTTCTAATGATGTTGCAGCCTTGATAATTCACACTTCGGTAAATATCCCTATCAATTTCATGTAGGCACTGTGTGTGTATGTGCGTGCGTGTGTGGGTGCGTGTGTGCATGCATGCATGCATGTGTGTGTGTGTGTGTGTTTATTGGTGTTCGCAATTGCTAAAATAACTTTAATCCAAAAATAAGTGAATACTAATGAAATAGCAGCTTTACAGTAATACTAATGCCTGTATGACTGTGTATTTTGGATGTCATCAGTTGCATATTAATTAGATATTGCTAATTGCTTTTTTGTTGTGTTTCTGTACATAGATGTTGCTTACCTCTTACACTTTATTAGTGAATGACGTTACCCACTGAGATTATCCCTGAGGCATATATATTGATAATTTCTCTTATATCAATAATAGAATGAACTGAAAATGCAGTGGTCAACTACTGTGTATTTCATGAAAACTCAATTTAACAAAATAAAATGGATATCAAATGTTATAAAAGACAATATATAATGTATAACAATTATGGTAAGAAAATAAAATGTTGCATCATTATATTTAAATGTCCTCTTGAATTAAAATAGA